TTCTAGTCTGGAGGCTCTTCCCAGCAGGGGGGCCATGCTGCAGGCAGGGGCGGGGAAAGCTGCCACGAGCAGCCGTGGTGGCAGTGCTGGGAGGGTTTGGGGGACTATGGCCCCCTCTGAGCCCCAGTGCCTCCATTTGCCGCAGTCTGCAGCAGCTCTGATCCACCACTTGCAGCTCCCCTCCGTGAGGAAGAGGTGTATGTTCCCTGAACACCATGGTGTGGGCTGCTGCCCCGTCAGGACCCTGCCCCTTTGCTGCTCCAGCAGCAGGGTGGAGGCCTGGCCAGAGGCTGGCTGGCTGGCACAGCCCCTTAGGCAAGGGGGGCAGGGAGGGGGGGTTTTCCCCCCTCCCTCCAGCATCTGGCAGAGGGGGAAGGAGGGGGGCGTATCCTGCTGTTTGCCCCTCACAGGGAGCAAGCGGCAGCGGTTGGGATAGGCAGACTCTGGCTGTGGTTCCCTAGGGACAGTGGGGGTAGAGGGGGTATAACCCCCCCTCCTTGCCCCCTCTGCCTCAGGGTGCCATGCCCGTCAGCATTTGGCTGCGACCCTGGCCCCGCTGCTGCAGCATGAAGGGAGGAGCGCCTGGCAGACCCTGGCTCAGGTCTGTCCCAGCGGGACAGGGAGCGGGGAATTAGATACCTCCCCTGGCCACTTCACTCTAGGCTACTGCTGGGGCTGGCCATGCCCCCGCTGCTGGAGCAGCCAGCAGAGAAATGCAGGTCTGCACCAGTGGGACAGGGGACAGAGCAGTGGGGGAATAAACCTCTTCCCTGCTCCCTTCCAGGGCCAGTGTCTGGCCAGGTGCTGCCCTGCCTGTCCCTGCTCCAGCTGGGAAGCAGAGGAATGAGACCAGCCCTGGTCCACTGGAGCGCAGAGCCCAGCCCAGAGGGCATGCCAGGATGCTGGGGGAGTCTGGTTTAACTTAAACCAGGAAGAGGTCTGAGATAGATATTGCATAAACCAGTTTGAGCTCAATCAGTTAAGTCTGATACTACATTCAACCAGGTTTATCTCAAACCAGTTTCAGGCATTTTGAAACTGGTTTATATGCACTGAGCTTATGTTCTGTGACAGGTTTAAATCAGTTTCTGATCATTTAAACTGATTTACATGTAACTTCTGTCCCTAGCCAGAAGGTCAGAGAAAAACAGAAGCCTTGACAGTGAGGGAAAAGCAGCTCTTGTTGTGATGGAAAAAGGGAATCTGTGAAGGGATTAAAATAAAAGAAATAAAACATTTCTGATGGGGGGGGTGGTTCTTCATAACTGCCACAGACATTCATTATAGCCTGGGAAAGGATCAAATGCTAAATAATAAAACTGGCACAACATTCTTGTAAATTTTAAAGGCAGACTGATTATATTTACAGTAGGGTCAGAGGGATGGTCACATAGTTACTAACTAATCTTGTTAAAATTCAGTACTGTTAAAATTTGAAATACAAGTTAAAATTAATTTAACTTTCCTTGTTCAATTTCCCAGTAGACAATATTGTGTTAAAACATTATCATCACCACATACTGCCCTCAAGACCTAACAGTGAGCCTGCATAGGATATCATACTGCCATTTGTTCTTTCCAGACTGGAGGTCAGCAGATGAGAAAGCATCTGGAGAAATATGATATTGGGCCTTTTCTCTCCAGCTCCTGGCTGTGATTATTTATTTGTACATTTTCTGTAATAGTGATAGCTGAGACATCTAGGAGCCATAATGCTGAAACCAGCAAAACAGTCTCAGTTAAAGCAGCAAGTTTAAATGAACAGTGTGGGTTTTGTTGACACTGTGTTCTCTAAACCAAGAGTTCTGCCTCTTTTCATCAAGCCAGGTCTCTAACCTCCTCTGTGTGTGATTTTCCTTAAAATATCTGTATACGCATCTAGCTTTAACATGGTTATTTTCATCTGCATCTTGGTGTGCAAATTCTCAAACCAGAAATGGTTGTAAATTTTGAAGCCATGGCTCTTCTCTTTTGCAGCTAGGTATTTGACTTCTTGCTCAAGAATGTTTTTTTGTTTGTCAGATACTTTCTATTCCGCCTGCTGTCACTTATCCTGATTTAACTCCATCAGCTTCAATGGAGTTCATTCTGCTTTGTACAAGTATGAATGAAATCAGAATCAGGCCATTATGGTTTAGAAATAACATTTCCCAGCTTTAGAGAACAATATAAAGCCATGTGCAAGGGGAGGACATTCTTTTTCTTCATGGCTTCTACCTCATCCAACAGTTGAGCAGCTTTTGAAGAGCTGCATCTTTGTCTTTTGCAAAAAAACAGCTGAGTAGTCAGGTATAGTTAGAGGAGATCTTCGGGCTAGAAGATCTATTAGGTCCCTTCCGACCCTAAATCTATGAAACTATGAAACTATGAGAACACAGTCCCAGGTTATCCATGAGCTATTCTTGCACCCTTTGTCCAATTTACTGTATGCTTTATACCCCTTGGCAATGTTTGAAAGCTGGAAAACAGGAGATGCCACTGTTATGTACAGTAATTATGTGCCTTACAAGTTGCATGATTCATTAAATGCACTTTTTGGATCCTCTAGTTTGCTGAATAGCTGCCCCCTGCCCCTCCCCACCCCTAGCTTTATCCTTCCTATGTCTGTGAAGGGATTGATGTACCACCTAGCTGCATCTCCTCTCTATGCATGTCCCCTCCTCCTCTGTAGGATCAAGTCACAGAAAGGAGAGATGAGCCTTGTCGTTTTGCATTATGATTCACAATTGACAGTTGGCCCCATTTCAAAGATAATTTTTAAATGACGTTTTTTTTGTCAGCAGCAACCTCAAATCCATACAAAAACAACACGGTACACTTTGAAATGAAGGAATGACTCAACCTAATGAATAATTATGTCAATTAGATGACTTTTGTTTCTGTGTCATGACTAGGCTGGCTACTGACGCATCCCCAGAATACAGGACATGCCCTTGGTGATGGGTCAGGACCACTACCCCCTTGGCCAGTCAGTGGTGAGGGGCATGGGTGCTACCTCCTCAGCCAGTCAGGAGTGAGGGGTGGGACCATGGGCCCCTTGGCCAATCAGCAGCAAGGGCATGACCATGAGAAAAAGAGCAGGGAAATGACACTGGCCTTGGCTTATTGCTGACAGTTATTTTGTTGCACTTGTAATGACATTGAATGCCACAGAGAACATGGCATAGCAGGTGTGAGGCTTAAACACCTTCTCCCTCCACTGGGATCCGGTCTCACTCTAGCCCAGCTCCATGCTTGGGAGCCAGGGACTCACATTAGACAGGGACCTCTCCTCCCCCCATCAGCATTCAGCACGAACACTGGACACCCAGGAATCTGCCCTGGTCACAGTCTGGTCGGAGCTGGGCTGAGTGGAGTCAGTGGGCGTTGGATGTCTGTGGCAATGCAGCCAGCTGCCTAGTGGGACCGTCCCTTCCTTCTCCAGGAGACAGATAGGTTTCCCTGTCCCGGAGAAGAAATAACAGCTTAATGACCTGGCCCAGAAGCCTGGAGGCCCTTCTGCCCAAAGCTCCCCATCCCTGCACAACAGGACATCCTAGGGACTCACTGGCCTGCTCTGTGGGTGCAAATATGGTTACAAGAGCCTCCTTCCAGTCCCACTGGCATTCCAGCAGATACAAATGCAGTGCTCTTACCTGCCTGCTATCAAAGCCATTATCTTCTGCTGAGGCAGTGCAGAGGTAGGTGTGTGTAGACCAACTGCCTGGCCCTGGCAGCTTAGTGTGCCCACCTGCACACAGCCAGCCCGAGGTCAGGGAGCTCAGGCACGCTGCAGCGCCTCAGCTCCCATTGTGCCTGCACTTGCACTGCAGCCATGGCTCATCACACAGGCGCAAAGCGGCCAGCCCCCCGAATCCTCTACCTCCCTTCCTGGCTGGCTCAGAACCCTGCTCCTCTTGGTTGTGCACCGCCCTACCTCTAGGCACAGCCAACAGAATCACAAGGATAAATGATTGACATGTATTTCCACCAATGAACTGAAAAGCAGGACTTTTTGCAGTCTGTTCCTTATTCAGAAGTGGACTGGGAACAAAAGGCAGTTTTACACAACACAGGGGTTTAATTCTCCCTAAATTGAAGCACTGTTTTTTTAAAAACACCATTTCAGTTTAGGACGAAGTAAACCCCTGTGTTGTGTACATCCATGTTGGAGCCCAATCCTTACCTGCCTCTCCAGCGGCAGGGAGGGGACAGCAAGTTGCTGGCGGGCAGAGCAGTCCCTGAGCTGGGGTGGGGCTGGTGCTTCCCTCCATGGCAGTAGCGGGCCCCCCCAGGCAGCACCCACTCACAGGCACCTGGCTTGGGCAGTCCCGGGAGGCATCGCAACCACGGCCCCGTACAGCTCAGGCAGGCAGGCAGGCTCCGGGGCAAAAAAAAAAAGAACAGATCAGGCTTACTGCTTTTTTCTTGTGTGGAGCCTGCCTTACCAGGCTGCCTGCATGGTCTGCCTGCATAGCCCCTGAGCCTCACAGAGCCTGGTGCTTCCCTCTGCGACTGTAGGGTAGGAAACTAAAACTCCTCGGAGGTGTTTTACTTTGCAGCACCCCAAGTCATTTGCTGCGTCCTGAAGTCATTTAAGGCACATTACACTGCCGAAAGTGCTACAGCGGTTGGAATTAACGCACAATACACTGCCGAATGTGCAAATAGCAGTGACATTAAAGCAGTGCAAAAGGCACTTTAAACCTGCTTTAAAGTGTCATCTACAAATGCCCAAAGAGTTAAAAAACAGGATGATCCGGTATAAAACAAGGCCAATGGCCACACCCTAGTCAGGACTAACGCTGGATTCTCCCTTCCTAGGGGCTAAGATGGGAGTTACCCAAAGGGAGGATTTGGTCCTATGGATATCCATCAAATAGTACAGCCCTGCTTAAATAATACAGAACTACTTCAACAACTTATTTGCTTTTTAATGTCATTTGAAGACAAGAGAGTCTCTGTGTAATCAGTTTTCAGTGTAAATTTAAAAATAAAAATATTGTAATTGGGTCACTGAACATGCAAAGAGAATGGGAATGGCTGATAAAGTAACTGAGTGGGGATTCCTCAGCCTAGAATTAGACTCTGATGCAGCTACTCAGGGAATCATTATTGGCAAGGAAAACAGAAGGCCCAGGCTGTTCTTGCTATTATAGTACATGCTTAATTAAGTAAGAACATAATTCCCGGTGGCCAAAAACACTAGCTCATTTGTTACCAACTGGTGATGATAATAAAAATGATAATATCCTTCCTCTAAAGGTCAGAAAATCATTTTCCAAGAAAGCAAGATTCTGATAAATGGAGTCTCCCAGAACATCCAAAATCTCTCATCACACTTGTTGTTTGTAGGTAGATTTAATTAAAAAACCACTCCTTTTTGTTCCAGTTGCACCAGAAACTCCATTTATATTATCATAAAGTATATTCTAGAAATGTAGTGACTAGCTAGGGGAAGAAGTTATTTTTGATTCTCTTCTTACTAAGAGGAAGGAATTGTGCAGTATCTGAAGGTGAATGTCACTTGCGTGATAGAGATCTTGAAATGCTAGAGTTCATTATCCTAAGGCAAGAAAGAAAGGAGAGTTAGAAAGCAGAATTAAAATGTTGAACTTCAGACTTCAGTGCAACAATGGACTTTAGAATTAATTGAGGAGACAGTATTAAGGGAACAAAAGCATGCTGTCCTGATGCAAAGAAAATATAGGAAGTATATCAAGTGGCTTGCTTCACTAAACTGTGAGCTCTACAATAACTTGAAACTTGAAAAAGAATATTGCCAAAAATGGAAACAATAATATTACTAAGAATGAGGTGTATAGGGACAAAAATTAGAATGACCAAGGCACAAATTGAGATAGCAAGGGGCAAAAATGTGACTATTTTATCAATGTTAGGAGTAAGTGGAAGACCATATGTCGGTCTCTTACTGAACATGGCAGGGTGGAGAAGGCTCAAGCGCTTAGTGCCTTTTTTAAAGCATTTGACAAAAAAGTCAACTGTCAGATGAGAAGCACAATTAGAAGCAGGATGGGTAGATAAGTTATTCAGCCAGGAGTATGGAAAGTACAAATTAGAGACTTTTACTAAGCTAAATATTTTCAAATTAGCAGGCCTTTCTGAAGTATTGAGATAATTACTTGAGGAAATTGCAGGGTCATTGGCTGTTTTCTTTGAATACTCCTGGAGGACATGTGACATCTCAGACTGGAAAAGGGCATAGTGCCCATTTTTTTTAAATAGTAAAAGGAAGAACTGGGGAATTACAGATGGATCAGTCTAACATTGGTAACTGAATAGGTAAAAGAGATGTCATCAACAATTGGTTGTGAAGCTTTTTGACACATTGTCACACAATTCTCGTACATAAGCTGCGGGAACAAAGTCCAAATCAGGGGTGGGTGTCAAACATGCAGCTCTCAAGCCAGATCCAGCTCACAGAGCCTTATCATCTGGCCCCTGGTGCTGCCTGTAGGTCTTGGAGTGACCCACAGACAGCATGTGGGACATGCTGGATGTCCCTGTGTGCTGCATGGGGGCACCTGTTCCAGCTTGTGTCCTGGAGCAGTGGAGTGGCTGCTACAAGCAGTATAGCCCCAGAGTGGCCACGTGCTGCTCTGGGGCCATGCAGCATGAGGCAACTGCTCTGGAGCTCCAGGGCTATGCTGTACAGCCTGGCAGTGGCAGAGACGGAAGGTCCCCGCTGCACAGCCCAGCGGTGGCTCCGGGTGCGGGACTGGTCTATGGGTTTGAAGCAGTCCACAGACCAGCTGCCCCATCTAGGGCCAAATGAGTCTGACACCTCTGATCTAGACTGATTGATTGTTCTCAGACTTTTTAGTCTTGGAAAAAGCCAGCCCTTATCTTTCACTCATATTTTGACTATGGAAAAATAATTGAGCAATTCTTGTGGAAAGCGCGCAAAAGATCAAAATGTTTTTGACACTATGGATTTCTATTAGAAATATAGGGGTTTATCTTGTGAATCGTGTAGATGTTTGTACACCCAGCAGTGCTAATATTGCATAGCACCCCATGACACCCTTGAAAGGATCTTGCATCACCCTGGTTGAGAGTCATTGATCTTGTTGAAACTGCTACAATGTGAGTACATAATTGGTTGGATAATTGTGCTCATAGAGCAGTTGTCAACAGCTCAATGACTGACTGGGAGGAAAAATATCAAAGGGCGTCCCCATGGGTCTGTTCTGGATCCAGTACTGTTCAATATTTTCATTACTGACTTGAAGGATGGAATTGATATGTACTTATTAAATTGGTTGATGACACCAAGCTGGGTATGGTATCAGTGTCTTTAAAGAACAGGATTAGGATTCAAAATGACCCTGTTAAATTGGGAAAATGATCTGAAGTGAACAGAATGAAATTCAATAAGGACAACTTAATAGCATAGTGGGCTCTCTTAACAGGAGCATTACGAGTCATAGGAAGTAATTCTTCTACTCAGTTCAGCACTGGCTGGGCTTCATCTGGAGTCCTCTTTATATACGTAGAAAAGAAGAATCAAACACACACACACAAAATAAGGAATGACTGAGTAAGCTATGTAGTATTATAGGAAAGGCCATAGCTATAGTGAATAGGAGTCAACAATGTAATATTGTTGGAAAAAAGTTAATAGCATAGTGGGCTTTCTGAACAGGATTCTTATATACAAGTTCCAAGAAGTGATTTTTCCACTCAATTCAGCACTGGTGAGACTTCATCTGGATTTCTGTATGTAGTTTCACATATTAAATGTAACGTGGACAAATCGGAAAGATGAGAGGAAAGCAACAAAATTATTAGAGGTCTAAAAGCATGACATATGAGAGAAGGTTTGAAGAACTGGTATTAATGAGGCTGGAGAAGAGAACAATGAGGGAGGATTTGATAACAGTCTTTAAATAAGAAAAGGCTTGTTATAAATAGAATGCTGTTTTCTGGCTCCTCCAGAAACAGGATAAGAAGGAATGGGAATAAATTGCAACAAGGGAGATTTAGGTTAGATATTAGGAAGAACTTGTTAAGTATGCATGTGGTTAACTACTGGAACCAATTACTTAGGGAGGTTGTGGGATCTTCATCTTTAGAAGTTTTTCAGTGCAACTTAGACAAAAATTATTGTCTTGGATGGCTTGGACAGGGATAGTCCTGCCTAAGCAGGGTACTAGGCTTGACAAACTCTTGAGGTCCCTTCCACCCTCTTTTTATGATCCTGTGATAGTATAAAGTGATATCATATTGGAGTTCAAGATATCATTAGCCCAATACAACATCACTGGAGGAATTCTCAGAGGCAGGGTCAGGTTTACCAGGGTTTTTTAGCTTCATAGGCTGCATCCACATGAGTGAGCACTTGTCTGTTGCAGCATCTCAAAGCAGTTTGAGACACCGCAGAAGGCGTGCCACAAACTAAAAAATATTCCCTGCACTGCATACTGGGGAATCCCGGTATCAAAAGAAAACACGCTGGAAAAAAGCAGCACAGGGCACACTCCTGGAACATGCCCAGAAGCAACTGAGGGCTGAGTTCTTCAAAGAGATGCTCTAGCACCCAGCCAGAGTGTCTTTATGCCTGCCACATGCCTCTGCTGCTCCAGCATGCTGCCTCAGTCAGGAATGATACTACTCAAGGCATGGGTACACCAGGAACTGACTAAACTACACTAAGGATTATCATAAAACACAGTAAATGCTGGTTTCTTTACCCTTGTGCCCATCGCTGTCATACCTTGCAGAAAGTTTCAACAGATACTTTTTGAATCAGATTATTACTATTGCATTTCATTGCTGAAAAGTATATATTAATATGTTTTTCTTACAGCAAATGTCATACATGACTTCAGAAATTCTAACTGAAGAAGTATAGGGAAAACAATCTTTGAGAGGGCTGTATTTCTAGCTGTAATGTTAATATAAGTGGGTTTCCTTCCTTAAGTGGCCTCTACATATTCATACTCTTGGGATACCCAAACTGCGTAGCTTAGATCAGCACTTCATAGCAGTATTCCTTGGAGTGTGGTTGTGCACTCTGCCCCTCCTCACATAGCATCCAGTGCTCAGCAGGTGAGACCATTCAGGAAGTGGCAGGATTTGATGTACCAGCTGCATCAGTTCAGTACAGCCCTTTTCTTCCTATCTGTGCTATTTCAGAAACTGAACTTGCATTTTGCTAAATCATTTTGCTGTTTACAGTCTGCTGAAGTTCACATAAAAGCAAAATTCAAATTCTGTTGACTGGCTGGATGTAGTTTAATTCAGTGTGTTGTGCTCTCTTTGAAATTAAGAAAACAATTATATTTTAATATTATGCAATTCTTGTGGCTTATCCTAAACCTAATCAGACAGAACCTATGACACTTCTGTATTAGCAAAAGTATGCTTTAGGTGGAATCCTTTTCTCCTGTGTTCCTCTAAATGGCAGTTCTCCAGCTTTCCACCTTGGCCATTTTTGGCCCCTGCTTTACACTTTGGATATGTAAGGCTGTGCACATAGTTTACACATGCACACGGGTATGTACACATGCATCTTCCAGATAAAACAAGGAGGGAGGAGAAGGTGGGCCCTCCTGTGTTTTAGCTGCAATAGCTTTGTGGTTAGGGCACTTGGCAGGGAAGCTAAAGACCTTGGTTCTAGGTGCTTAGCACCCAGACAGAGTTTGAACCTGTGTTTTTCTCGTGCCCTAGCACAGGGGTGGGCAGTTATTTTGGTTGGAGGGCCAGCTTTAGAATTTGGGTGAGCTATTGTAGTCCGGGGGAGGGTGGGGGGTGCTGATACAGCCTGCAGCGTGGGGTGGCAGCAATAATTCATAATTATCTGAATAAGCAAAGATTTCTTGTTATGCCTCATAACGGGGGGAGTGATCATTCAGCTTTAAAATACGGGGAAGTGTGTGTCAAGTCATCTTCTAGTGGCTTTTCTACAAAGGCTAACAATTACTTAACACAAGTGGCAGGGGTCAGAACTGGGGCTCTAAATATCAAGGGTTAAAATGCTACGATTGCTGACCTCAGGAAGATATTATGAGATTTTATGTAATACAAACAATGAGCATACATATTTAGAAATAATTGCATATTTAAAAACTAGAAATATATGCATAATTGAATAGGTATTATGTATTCCAGTCATTTGTCACTAGTTGTGTTGCTGATGTCATATATTGGCAAAGTGAAAGATTGAGAGAAATGTTTCACGCTGCTAGGGCAGGGACCAAGAGGAAGAAAGAGCACAGTAAGCAGACCTCCTGATGGAGGGCAAAGTGCTCCTAGATGTACCCATTTTCAGAAGGCTGTGAAAGGCAACAGTGTATGTTCAGAAATGAATGACAGTACTGATTTCTTCATGGAGGCTACCTTCAAATGACAGGTTATGTTGTTAATGACAAGTATGGTAGGTTGTTCTTGGAGTACTTACTGAAACTTTTAAACAGAGACAAAATGATGTAGACACATGACATTTAATGAAGCAAGTAGCAGCCTTCTTCCCTTCAGGAAAGTTGATGCAGTCAGGAGCGGCTTCACCAGTACTGTTTTTCTCTAATTCCCAAGCAGGTTCATTTGCACTTCCTCTCTCTTTCCACTTTTAGGCCCTGGGTAGCTATTCATGAGATGTACCAACTCTGTATTAAGAAGCTAGGCAGTGAACACAAATACTAAACTTAGTGACAGTGAAGATTGCATCAGCATATATCTTATCTACCCAAAGCTTGAAATCAGAAGCTAAAAGTTAGGGGGAAAC